ATTATGTTCGTTAACAGATCACCCACTGTATATGACTTACTGATCACCAAACAGTTGACTTGTATGCATTAACATGCATAGTCTGCATGCAGTACTGTAAACATTATATTTACAATACTGCATGGTAAATAAACAGAACAATTTGTTTTAAAAAATGCAAACAAAAATTTATAATGTTACATAAAGAATGAATTTCAGATGTAATATTTGACAAACTGGTTTTATTGTGATGATTACAACTGTAATTGCCGACTTATGCTAGAGTGTTTGCAATCTGCAGTTAAAAATCATCATGATCTTCAAAACTCACAGAATCACATACAAGATGAAATGAAACAAACATTTCAACTAACTTCTGAACAATCTTTATATACATACATTTTATGGCAAAAGTAATACTAAATTAGTACCACTTTACCTGATATTGTTGTGTGTGTTTTGGCTCCTCCAAGTTCTTCCTGAGTTACATCTTCATTGGTGACAGCCTATGTGTGAATATTTTTGATAAAAACATAACTAAATTGTATTTAAATTGAAAGATAAGCTTAAGTGATTGAAATGTTTATTAAAGATTTTAAAAAGTAATAATTTAACAATAGTAATCCATCAACAAGAAATAAATAGAATTTCAAGCAGTAAAACAAAGAGAACCAATATTCACAATAATCAAATTTTTATTTTACTCCAGTAATTTATTTTATGATCATTTTTCTTAATAATTTGTTGGATTTTCAATGCACATAAAGATAATATTTGTTTACAATTTATTTTATAAATGCCTACTAGGACTTATCTTATTATTAGGACTTATTGTACTGGTGTTCTGTTTCTACAAATCAAGGAAAACTTATTCAGAAAAAACATTCCTTGATTTGTAGAAACAGAACACCAGTACAGTAAGTCCTAATAATAAGATAAGTCCTAGTAGACATTTATAAAATAAATTGAATAAAATAAGGACACAAAGGCATATGAATTAATATTTGTTTTGTCGTCAATATGTTAATTCACAAGTTTTTATATAAAATCAATAAAAATGGTACAAAAAAAAAGAAACAAATGTACATTTAAATTAAAGACAAATATGTTAATTTTTGTAAAATTCAACTAATGAGAAATTATTTTGATTAATAAATAAATATATTTATCTAAGATGAAAGTTAATTTTCAGTAATTTTTATAAATGTACATCCAATTAAAGTTATTGTTTAAAATAGAATTGACATAATATAATTTATTTACCTTAACAACATCTGGTCCAGTAATAAATAAATAAGATGTATCCTAAAAAAAACAATATATAATTTAAATGTAGAGAAATATGAAAAAAATACATGCACTAGTATAATAAATATTTAAAATCTAATGATGTATAAAACATGTTAGAAATATACTCAGTGAGTAAACAATATATTTTGTAAATTAAATTATTATACATTTCAAGTATAAAATTTAAAAAATACTAAAAATAAATTATCAATCAATATTTAAGGATTGAAACAGGATCCATCAAAAATATTTTTGCTGGATGTTAAAGATTGAAAACATTTTTTGCTTCAATTTTTTAATATTTTTAATTATCATATATAAAGTTAGAAAAACATAAGCAAAATTTAAAAATTAACTAAAAAAAATATTACATAAAAGACTGCATGAACAGAAACTTCCAAGCATTAGATAAAGAATAGAAATCATTATCATCAGATACTAACCTAGAAGGAGAAGGATAAAGGAAAAATAAAATTACAATTTACAATTGTCTTGCTATTAATCTCTCATCCAAATTGAAAGACTTTTAACTTACTTTGACCATAAAAACAAAGTCAGTTAATGCAGGAGAATATACAGCTCCACCAGCACAAGGTCCCATAATTACGGATATTTGAGGAATGACGCCAGAAGACACAACATTACGAAGAAAGATATCAGCATAACCAGCAAGGGATTCTACCCCTTCTTGAATTCTTGCTCCTCCAGAATCATTTAATCCAATTACAGGAGCACCAACTAACATGGCTTGATCCATCACCTGAAAATTAAACAAGAAAATATTAAATATTTTTAAGGCAATAACTAAAATTACTCATTAGAATTTGTGAAATAAATATAAATTTTGACCAGCACTATTTATTTCCAAAATATGTCTGGAATTATGATTTATTTAACTAAAAAGATATTTGTGGCATGCCATATATCAATTAAACCCATGATTTAAATAAATCCCAAGTCGAAAAGTATGGAATACATATTAAAGTATGGAAAGTATCAATATAAGATAATGTATTAAAAGACTAGTGACAGGTAAAAAATTTAGCTAAAATTCTACCTGCTCAAACTATCTAGAATTGGACAGAATGTTCTAATTCTAAGAAAGGTTTGTGGGAATATATTTAGAAATAAAAGTTTAAATATTGTCAAAAATTGAGTGTAGAAAAGCCACAATTGAATTCATAAGTCAAGAGCTTATAAACCAAAGGGTAATTAGGAAAATTGGAGATGTTGAATTTGGACAAGACAACACTTGATAAGAATCTGATTCCTATAATTATCAAAATAGACATTGACAACATAACCAAATTAGAAGTTGCTGAATCAGGTTAACTATGAAAATAGTAGTTATTTCAAATGTCATAGCTGTAACTCTCAAATATAGTCAATAAATGGTTCTAAAAATAAACAAGTAATAAGGTACTTTTTCAATTTTTATCCCCTCGTCTCCTGTGGCAAGGAAATAAACTCTAGCCTCAAAATACCCCAAGAGCTAGATACATTTTAGAAATAGGATTTAGTCAAGTTATAGTATATATTTGTAACATACAGTGATCTGTGTGAACTATTCATTGCTTATATATATTGGGTCATTTGGAAAGTAATTTTGTTTTTTTTACAACCAGAGGAATTAGTTGTATTTTTACCCACCAGTTTAATTTAAAACTATATCATCATTATATATTGATATATTGACAGCTGACATTTCAAGACTTTAAAAAATTTTGTTTGATTCTGTGCAATTATTTTTTTTTTTTTTTTTGGCTTCTTTGAGAACGAAAGAAAAACATAGACAACATTCGACTGAAGTTGAATCGAATGTTGAATCTTCTTTATTCCAAGATCAATAAAAAAAAATTAGTGGAATTTTTGGTGTTTATTAACAATGTCATTTAATTACATTTAAAAAAATTATTCCAAAAACAATAATTGTAAGAAAAACGAATTTAANTCGATATATAGGTTCCACATGTTCTTAAAGAAAGAGATGCTCTCTTTAGTTGGATTTTAAGGGATTTTTTTTTTTTTTGAGCATCTACCAGACAATTCCACAAATCATTTGAAAGTGTATTGCCACCAAATGGACAAATTGAGTGATACCATCAAACAGAAAAGGCCAGAATTGATCAACAGAAATAGTATAGTGTTTCACAATGATAATGCCAAATCTCACACAAGTTTGGTAACTCGTCAGAAACTGTTACAACTTAGACGGGATGTGATACAACACCCACCATGTTCACCAGATCTGGCACCCTCGGATTATTACTTGTTCAGGTCTTTACAAAATTTTTTAAACGATAAAACAAATGAGGATGTCAAAAATCACTTGGATCAGTTTTTTTGTAAGCAAACATCAAAACTTTTATGAACGTGGAATCATGCTACTAACAGAAAGATGGCAA